AAATAGGAAAAATTTCAATTGCATTCCTTCTAATTTATCATATCTTCAAGGACACCCCCTTCTATTGTCCAAGATATATTTTAGTAAAAATATCATCTACAGTTTCTCTAAATAGGCATATCTTCAATAAAACTCTCTCTATGTTATGATTTTTTTGGCGTATTAAAATTTGGATTAATTAAAACTTGATTCAAGTTGATTAAATCAACTTGCATTAAATTTTAATCAATCCAAATTTTGATATGTAAAAAAATATAAATTTTAATCGACTCGAATCGAATTTTAATCAGCGTTAATAGTTCAAGTTGAGTTCAAATCGGTTCGAATTTTAATACGTCAAAAAAAAAATTTAATATGTTCAAATTTTAATACGAAAAATAAAATTTAATCAGCTCGAATTTTATGTAGAAACATTATTTAGGGTTTTATGTAAATGCAAATTTAATATTTTAGATAAATTTTTTTGGTTAGAAAAAGTGGTTTAACGACAGGGAATGTCAGTGATGTTCAAATATAAAGGCTAATCTCAAATTATACCTGAAAGATGATTAAAATCTCAATTTTGCATCTTTAAAGTATAAAAATATCAATTTACACGTTGAAAGACATAAATTTATATCAATGTGAACCGAGAGTTAGCTATCGTCCTTTTTGCCATTAAAAAGGTTTGGGCTAATTGCAAAATGTACCTTCAAATTTAAATATTTTACATTTATAATCAAAAAAAAATTTCATCCATTAATACTCATTAAATACTTCTCAATTTTGTTGTATTGTAATATTTTTGTGTCATGTAATATTATTTTTATATCGTGTTCAAATCAATAAAAAAAAATTTTAACAAAAAAATTATTTTTTTTCGAGTCAATTGTATTGTGTCGTATATTTTACATTTACGACAATTCATTTAATACTATTTTAAAAAAATTTAAAACACATATTTTTTTTTCTATTTAAAGTTAGATACGATACAATATAATTGAGAGCTATTTAACGAATATTAATAAATGTAATTCTTTGAATCAAAAATGTGAAATATTTAAACTTTGAGGGTATAATTTATATTTAGCCCAAATTGTTTTAGCGATAAAATGTACGACGGTTTCAAGTACACATTGATACGAATTTATTTCTTTCGGTATATGAATTAATATTTTTAAACTTTGAAGGTATAAATTAAAATTCGAGTAATCTTTTGAGATGCAAACTGAGATTAATTCTAAATATATACTAAAAGGGAATGTCAGGAATGTTTTAAATAATAAACAGATATTCTTAAAAAACATGATAAATTAAAATAAATGTGACTGAAATTTTGCTTAAAAATATTATAAATTTCGTACATTACAAATTACTACGACGGTATGAATTAAAGTAAATTCTACCGGTTGCGCCGCTAATCGGGCAAAATGTGGTCCCCATGTAAGAGAGACTGTTTTTTCAAAAGTTGGATTAGTACCTAACCCAACGATATACTCACAGATGTATCATGTATGTCTACACACACACACACACACACACACACAANGGATTAGTACCTAACCCAACGATATACTCACAGATGTATCATGTATGTCTACACACACACACACGCTAAAGTTCCTCACTGCTGTACCTGCACATATTTCTTCTTCTGTGTTAACCCCATTGCAATTTTCTAGTGTGTCCATGGCGGATCGAATTAGTTCATGATCTGCACATACACACACGAGTTTTTTGTGTTTTTTTGTTCACAGTATCAGCTAATCTCAGATTTTTACTACTCCGATCCAAGCAAAACAGGGATCAGAGATGCTGGACGGGTTGCTTGGGAAAAATTTTAGCTCCAAATGGTCAGTTGTAATACAATCAAATCCAATCTCTGTGTGTTTATGTGTATATACATTATACATATATGTACTCACATTTTTTTCTCGGATGATTATATAAACACTTTCACTTTTAATGGAATATATGATTTTTAAATTTTTTTTTATGATGAAGTAAATCGTTGATTAAGCCAACGAGGACGCGAATTGAAGTACTAAGTAGGAGAGCGGAGGCGAAACAGAGATTTTTGAAGGAAGATCTTGCGAAATTGCTCGCTAATGGACTAGATATCAATGCCTATGGAAGGGTTGGTGAAATTTTGATTTCTTTCCTCTTTTTTCTTTGGATTTTTCAAGTGCATATTTTTTTTTGGCTCTTTTGATCTGGTTTTGCGTGACTATCTTTTTCTTTTAGTTTGAATCGGTGGTTCTGTAGGAAACTGCAAAGTTGATCTTTTTCTTTGGATTTGTTAAGACGCACTATTTAGGTAGCATCTCAATAAATTTATTATGACCCCCGATTAGGCCTCACTATGCTATTATTTTATAGATAACAAGTTACATATTTCCAAGACCTAGACAATAAAGTTAGCTCCTATGTCTTTGCTTTCAGTAATTCAAGTGAAGTATTTAGTCTATTTATTTTTCTTGTTTCTTGGTTGATTATCTGGGACTTCTCGGTTTGTTTTGTTTGTCCGGTGCTTTGGACATTGACACTGTTTAGGAGGTGTGGTGTAATTTTGAAGAGTTTTGCACGTCTTGGTGGTGCAGCATCATGCCCTTTGTATGTGACACTCTTTGGACATATTCTCCCACAAATATAATAGCTTTGTTCAACAGTTTTGTCTTGGAGCTTTTTGAATCGCAAGGTCAAACCGTCCAAATATGATACTGCAATTTGTATGTTTTCTTGAAATTTAACCTTCTGGTTTAAACCCCCTTTTTAATGTGGTTGAAATCTTGTGTTCTCTTATGTATTTGAATTGTTTATTAGTTGACTGATTTTGATATTAGTAGAAACATATTTTGCTTATACTATACCCTTCTTCATGGTGGACTTAAGACATATGCACTAATATATGTGTGGCTGTCTAGGGCAGGTATGTAATTCTAATATCAATATGCCTTACAAAATTGTTCTTTTTATGCGAGGAAATGAAACAGACTGAAGAGTTTCTCGCTGGATTTAGCCTCTTGTCATGTTATGAGTATATTGATCAATGTTGTGAATATATAGTCAAGCACCTCTCAAGCATGCAAAAACTAAGGTATGGGAGGATGATATTGCTATTGTCACAAAGCATTTCATATGATGTCATCTTGCAATATGAAATTTTATGCTGATTAGTCACATACTCTGCCATCGTTTATATACTTGTGGTTTTTATGTACATATGTGCATATCTGTGTTTGTAGTCCTTGTGGTAGTGTAAACCAAGGAACAAAGCATCAATAACATGGATGCACAGTGACAAAATATATAGAAGTCAATGCTTTCTTGGAAAAGGCACAAAGATTCTAATATTGTGAAAGCTTCATATAATGAATATATAAGGTCCTGAAGATATGAGTATCTTGATGGTACATTGTACTTAGTGATATAGTGGGAGGTGAGAAATTACGAGGGAAAGCAATTTCACTTGCATATCGTCCTCCCGAGTCCTGATATATGCTTCCTCTGCATCTTTACTACTTCAAAGTATAGCTTCCCATGTCATTTTACTCCAGTCCTATTTTGTAAAGTAGGCTATGCTGGTTGCCTGGTTTCATTCATGAAAGTCATCTCTCAAATTCCATGATTTATGCGTCTGGACTGGTGCGTTGTGCTATTACTATGTGCTGACATATGCTGTAATGTCGTGGAATTTGTGGGAAGTAACGTGCGAAAACATTAGGATGGAGCCAGATTTCTATCATCCTTGTAGGTGACCTGCTTGTTTTGAGAAGCTTTCTTCCGAACTGACCGAACATATAAAAATGCAAGTCCAGTAGGATTTGTAAGTCACTGATAGAGACCATTAAGAATTTGTTAATCTAAATTAGTTGTGGCGAGGACAATATGGATTCCTACTTATCCCTGTAAATTTCGCATTTGTGAGCTCTGTGGGGTGAAGCCCTCCTTTGCAGATCCTGTTAAATGGATAGTACACACTGATTTGGAGAAATGAATTAAGAAAAATACCCATTCCTAATTCCAGTTAGTATTGGAAGATAAAAGTCTAGATAATGAGAATGAAGTACATTGACCTCTTGGGGATTGTTAAGTTTGGAAGATTAACATAATATTAGAGACAATATTTAGAGAGGAACAGAGAGAGGTTAAAAAGTTTANGAAGTACATTGACCTCTTGGGGATTGTTAAGTTTGGAAGATTAACATAATATTAGAGACAATATTTAGAGAGGAATAGAGAGAGGTTAAAAAGTTTACCTAGCCCTCATACATCACTTGTATTTATAGGTAACTCATAATCATAAGAATTACACATACACACCCTCTTGTATTTACACATAATACCCTAACACTATTAACAATTTACATATACTACCCTAAGGTGGTGTTTGTTTGATAGGATTGAAGGGGATTGAAGGTGGGATTGGATTAAAATAGTGAAATGACCCACTTATCCTTGGTTTGGTTGGAAAAATTGAAAAGGGCTCCTCGTGGGATTGAAAAACTCGGCCGTAGGTTTTGAAGCCAAGAATCCCATCTGCAGGTGATTCAACAATCCCTTCTGCTGTGAGGGATTGTTGAATTGAGAAGTAGGATTAAATGACTAAAATCTAAAATACCCTCCATAGTAAAATACCCTCCACGCATTTTTACCTCCATTCCCCTTCCCTTTCACTTTCACACTGGTCCCCTTCTCCATGGAAGTAGCACTGTTGACCAGATCTGTCCATAGAAGTAATAGATCTGGCCTTGGAAGTGCTCGATCTGCTAATGGACGATGGTGATGCTAGATCTGTTGATGGACCATATCTGTCCATTGAAGTGCTCGATTTGGGCATGGAAGTAGCTTCTATGTATACCCATTTGTTCTCTTTCTCTCTCTCGCTCTCTCTCTCTCTCTGTATTTGTCTTTGTCCCTGTCTGATGCAGAAGGTGNCCCCTTCTCCATGGAAGTAGCACTGTTGACCAGATCTGTCCATAGAAGTAATAGATCTGGCCTTGGAAGTGCTCAATCTGCTGATGGACGATGGTGATGCTAGATCTGTTGATGGACCATATCTGTCCATTGAAGTGCTCGATTTGGGCATGGAAGTAGCTTCTATGTATACCCATTTGTTCTCTTTCTCTCTCTCTCTCTCTCTGTATTTGTCTTTGTCCCTGTCTGATGCAGAAGGTGAACTATCTGGAAAGATGAGGATTTTAACAAACTTAAAATCCACTTATTACAGTAGTTGTTTGGTTTATTTGCACTTTTCCCCCTCATTATTAAAAAATTAGCACATAACTCTCTTTTAGAATGGAAGCTCATGATTTCAAAGTAAGTGTGTGAAAATATTTGGTGTACCTCAACTTTGAATAAAATGGTTTGGGTTTCATTAAAAAATAATAATTGTTCTGTGGTGTTGCGTCTCATTACATTTTAAAATTTTAAGATCTTAAAAAGCTGTTGCTCATCCATTTGTTTCCTTGTATAAGAAATCTACAAAAAATTTACATTTGTATTAAAGCAACATATTTTAAATTGACATGATGAGCGCTAGTGATTCATGCAATATTATTAAAATGCCCTACCATTTTGGATAATAAATTGCATTTTGGTCATTGAAAATATTTAATATGGTTCGGATTAATTTTGCTATTTATTGAAAATAAACAATAAAGTTTTATTTTTAAACACACAATTTCGGATTTTCTATAAATAAACAAATAACGACTTAGGCTTTAGTTGTATCGATATGTATATTATTTTTGTGTTGGAAATTTTGTTTTTTCCATGATGCATATGTTTTTTTGTAATTAAAAGTGTATTATACAAATTAAATTAAATAAATGAACAAAATATTTATTGCAATATATTGTAAAAATGCGTAATTTATTCATTCATATTTTTTGTCGTAAAAATATCAATACTAATGGATTGGACTTTTTTTTTTAATTCCATTTCAAACATGGTATAGGTTTGGATCACATTATTTTACACAAGGGTGAAATGGTCATTTTAGTTTGTTATATCTTCACAAATTAATGGGGCCCACAAAACAAATTAAACTTATCCAAAGCTGGGATAGGATTTGAATCTCATCTTTATAATCCTCAAATCCGGATCACTTTGCATTGGGTTGGGATTCAAATCCAATCCAATCCAATCCTTCCACGGTGATCCAAACACCACCTAATACTCTTAACAGGGATAAATAACAGCACATGATAGGATCCTGCGTCAGNAAAACAAATTAAACTTATCCAAAGCTGGGATAGGATTTGAATCTCATCTTTATAATTCTCAAATCCGGATCACTTTGCATTGGGTTGGGATTCAAATCCAATCCTTCCACAGTGATCCAAACACCACCTAATACTCTTAACAGGGATAAATAACAGCACATGATAGGATCCTGCGTCAGAGACTGTGCTCTTTGTTACTTTGAGGCGATAGTTCTGAAGGGTCATCAATAAGTGGAACTAATTTATTTAGACTTTGAGACGTAGACAATTTGAGTATAATGTTGACATGCCCATCCATGGTTTGCTTTTCCAGGGAATGCCCTGAAGAATGTAGGGAGGTTGTGGCATCCCTGATGTTTGCTGCAGCAAGATTTTCTGATTTGCCAGAATTGCGTGATCTCAGAGATATATTTCAAGAGAGATATGAAAGTTCTTTGGAAAGTTTTGTTAATCAAAAGGTAATTCTTTACATAGCCACTCTGAATGAACATTATTATTTTCATAGTATAGATTTTATATCTTACAGCCGATCCCGAAAATATTGGGACAAGACTTTGTTGAGTTGAGATTTTATATCTAACCAGATTAATTGCTCACTGTTAGTTTGTAGATAAGTTAGCCACAAAGCCTCCTACGATGGAGAAAAAACTCTGGTTACTGCAAGACATAGCATCAGAGTTCTCTATAAAGTGGGAGCCCATGGGTTTTGCAGAAAGGATGGCTGCTCCCCCTGGATTAGCCCAGGTATGCCCTTCATTATTTTGAGCTTGATGACTGAGGAAGAGAAAGCAGATTATATCTTTGTAATTCTAGAAAACTACCAGACCTATGCTCAAAAATATTGTCTGTATACTTTTCTCTGGAATGCATTTTGAATAAATTAACTTTGTCTTTGGTTTAGGATCTCACCTAAGCTAAACTGTTCCGCATTTTGTGACTGATTTGCAGGATAAATCTAAGAAATATGGGTCTTTCCATGTCACTGTGGATGGAAACAAATTGTCAAAAGCTGATAAGCAGGATATTTTATCCAGAAAGAAGTCTGAGTTTGTTGATGATGGTGGTCATGGAATACGGAGTGGCAGGGAGGGTAATATCTTGAGAAGAGATGGGTCGGACATTAAGCGCATAGGAAGACAGGAATTCATCGGTAATGGACACAAGCCAGTCCCTAGTGAGGGACACATTATCCCAAATGGAAACAACAATGACCTATCACGCCGAAGGAGAGAACCCCTTGGTGATCAGCACGGATCATGGAATGAGAAGGATGATACTACCCTAAAGGTTGTTAGATTAGGCAGTTCATCTCATGGTAAAAAACCAGAATGTGTTGGTGGTGGATCCCTTCTGCAGAATGATAAGGTGAATGTTGTGTCCAAAGGAGAAAGGAAGGATCCTTACTCTCGAGGAAAATCAGAAGTTGCAGCTGCTTATGCAGGACTATCCGTAACCAATGATGGTAGAGATGTCTCATCATTGAGTCGACAAAATGTTGCTAACCCAACAAGAAAAGTGCAGGAGGAAGAAACCGATAGGCCGAAAACCTACAAAAGTGCCCTCCCTCCACCGTATGTGAAATCAAAAGATAATGCCATCCCTCCACCATACTTTAAGCCAAAAGATAGCAAACGTGAAGCCAGTGGAGGATCTAAGCTTGTGGATTCTGACCGTGATGGATACTCCATAGATACTTCACCCCATAACAGGGGGAATGCAGTTAACAGCTCAGAGAGCATCCATAAAGTAGATCATCCTGGCCATGAGGGGCAAGGTCTTAGACCTGGTAGATTGAATAGTCATGTTCATGAGAAAGATCATCATGATGAGGATGATAAACTGTTGCTAAAACCAAGATCAACGAGGAGGAAGCATTCAAAATCATCATCCAGCCACAACGATGTATGCAGTTCTGAAGATACTGGGCTTCCAAAGAGCAGTTCCAGTAGCAGCAGGAGAAGAGATCATTCAGGCAAGGGCCTGCAAATCTTGTTCGATGATCAGCATTATCAGAAAGACGCAGAGGAAAGGATGATAGATAAACTGCTGTTGCGTTACAGTAAGAAACCATCAACACATGACGAAGGAAAGTTGAGAAAAAAGTTTCAAGCTCATCCTTCACATCAGATAGCTGCTTATGCTTGTGAGTCCTCGTACAGTCAAAGCAGAGAGGGGCATGGTGTGAAGTCGGAAATGGTTCCTCCTCCCAGCAGATCTGTGTCTCTCCCTCGTGAAAAAACTGTTCCATCAGGGGCCACAAAAATTTTTACCCATGCCAATTCTTTTCATCCAGATAAGCAGGCACCTCATGTGCATCCCAAGTTACCAGATTATGATGATTTGGCTGCTCGGTTTGCAGCTCTGAGAGGGCGATAAAAGGTAAAGAACGAATGGAAACTTCACAAATTGTTTCTGTTCTTTTTTGCATGACCATGTTCTATCTCCTCACGTTTTTGCATGATGGGTCTCGTGTAGTTCTCTGGATTTCCAATGGTATTGGGGATTCGCCTTAACTCTTATGAAGGGCTGTACTGATGTTAGTGATGATTGAATTCCCATTGCATAGCCAGGCTTTCAGACGACACAAACCTTCCATTGCTCAGTAATAAGAGTATAGCACTGCATTGTTTTCTTTAATCCGTAAAATGAGATGGGTTTAACCTCACAGTTTGTGGTGCTAGCTTCCTCGTTTTTGTAATCCATCTCTTACTTCCATAGCCAACTGATAATTGATCTGCTTGTATTTTGTGAAGTACTTGGTTTTTAAGTTGTAACATTACATGTAACGTCAAATGATGCATATGCCACAATTAATGATTAATAGTTGACATTCAGATTGCTACTATTTTATCTGTGTTCACTGCTAATGAGGAATATCTGCTTGAAAGTAGTCCGTTTTGAGATATTGCTGCCATTTTATTAGGGCGCGATTTAGAATGATGGCATCTTCTTTCAATTCAGCATATCTTGATGTTTTATATCGTTTTTTCCACCAACTAGGAGGTATCTGAGCCTTTTAAAGTTATCGATTAATCTTTTGTCNTCTGCTTGAAAGTAGTCCGTTTTGAGATATTGCTGCCATTTTATTAGGGCGCGATTGAGAATGATGGCATCTTCTTTCAATTCAGCATATCTTGATGTTTTATATCGTTTTGTCCACCAACTAGGAGGTATCTGAGCCTTTTAAAGTTATCGATTAATCTTTTGGCCACATGCATTTCTTGTATCTCACACGCATTGGGGGTTTAGAGGGATAGATTATGTGGATGGCGCCAAGAAGAGACTTAGACTGAAGACGTCTAAATTTGTAGAGCGAGNCTTTTAAAGTTATCGATTAATCTTTTGTCCACATGCATTTCTTGTATCTCACACGCATTGGGGGTTTAGAGGGATAGATTATGTGGATGGCGCCAAGAAGAGACTTAGACCGAAGACGTCTAAATTTGTAGAGTGGGTTGCTGACCAACTTGTCTGCCCTTGGGTTATTGTTTTGTATCTGGTGCACTAGTGTTGAGACAGCTGAATGTTGGGAACCGCATTTTGCCAAGGCAGTTTGGCCATGTCTGCGAGTTTTGTTGGCTGGCTGGTTGATAGACTCCACAGTGTTCATTAAAATGACCAAATTGACCCCATAAGTGAGAAAAGCCCCCACTCGATCAGTGGATAAGCCCCAACCCCAAATTCCCTACGAGATACCCTTCCTATCTCTTTGTTTGTCAGAGGTGAAGGACTCTTTCCCGCCAAAAAAGCTTCTCTGCCTTCCATATATCAGAGTCCCTTTTTCACTCTGCACACAACACACAGAGAGAGAGAGAGAGAGAGAGAGAGATGCAGGGCACGTCTAAGGTGATTATGGGAGCAACACTGATAATGGTGGTGAGCCTTGCCATAATATTATCCCTGGTGCTGGTGCTGCTAGCTGAGTTATATTGTTCTCTATTACTCCATCGACGGAAACTCGGAATGACCAGTTCCACCACCACCAACACTGCTGGCACCACCACAACCACCACTGTTGCCACCACCTCCACACATGGTTTCGTCTCTCAGCCCCAGCAGCCCTTGGACCAATCAGCTCCTCCATCTCTCTGTAGTTTCTATGCACAAGGGGTTATTCAAGCCCCAAGAAGCTTCCTCTTCCCCCAAGTTTCCATCAATGATAAGTTAGACCTAGAGAAGCAACATTCTCAACCCAGTTCCACCCCTCATTTACCAATTGCCAAAGTTCCACTTGAAGATTGCAATGCCAGTACTTCCAAAAATGGAGGTTTAGCTGGTGTTTCTGATCATTTCATGTACATATCCAATCCAATTTACAACAGCGAATCTGGCAGCTCAAGCCGGGCTAACACCCCATTCAAAACCCCCGACACCTCTCCTTCCCGGTTAGAAACTGGAGATTCCTCCGGTGACGATATTAGAGACCTGTCACTCTCTTCTAGTCCTCCCTCACTGCCAGTTACTCCTCCATTGACTCCGATGAAGAAGCTCCCGGCCGAGGCGTGTTCCGTTTCTTTGAGAGACGCTCGGTGTCTTGGCACTTCAGGTAGTGATTCCAACAGCAATAAAAAAGGTGTTTCTTCCTCTTCATCAGGGTCTCCTTGCACCTCACCTTCATGGTGAATGGTTTATGTGAAAAGTTTGACCGTCAACGCTTGTTTTGGCTTTATTGTGAACTTCTGATTTGGTTGTTTTGTTAATAATGGTGACGGGAAAGTTTCTGGTAAAGAGAAAGGTAACAGTAGACTGTTTTGAACTTTTTCTCTGCAAGCCTGTGCATGGCTCGCCAACCCAAGGCACGCCTATGCTGCACAAATTTTCCTCCAAAATGTTTAGTCTCTCTTGCTCGGTCAAAAAAGATAAATAAAATAATTTTTTTTATTCGCAATTAAAATTATTTTAAATTTTATTTTAAAATTAATTCAACGGTTAATATTAACACTCTAAATTTAATAGAAAAAATAAATTTTTAATGGTGTGTTTGAAGTGACTTTTTAAAAGTACTTTTTAAAATTTTTTTTCATAAATTTTTTTTTAAAAAAATAACGTTTGAAATGGTCCCACCACTACCTCTATCACAACCGCCACCACCACCACCGTTGTTGCCACCGCCACCGCCACCACTTCAATTGCCATCGCTACCACCACCGCAGCCACCATCCCCAACCCCACTGCCACCGCCACCGCCATCGCCATCGTCACCACTACCATCGCCTTCACCACCNGTCACCACTACCATCGCCACCACCATCGTCACCACCACCATCGCCACCATCATCGCCACCACCGCCTTCACCACCACCCCCCACCACCTCCACGCCCACCGCCTCCACTCCCACCCCCACCACAATCACCATCACTATCGTTGCCGTCGCCACCACCATTGTTGCCGCCGCCATGGTTATTGTCACCTACCACAACCAGCACCGTCTCCTACCACCACCACTGCCGCCCACCACCTCTCACCTCCACTATAAATCGATACTTAAATTCTTTTATCTTTTCTCTATTTTTGTTATTTGATTTTAAATATGAATATAAATATATTTATTGTTTATTATTTTTTATTATTCTGTGTCTTCAAACATAGACAATAACTAATATATATATTATTTGCCAAGTTGTGTATTTTTTTGGTTTGGACCAACACTACTCAATCTGTTTACTGGATTGGTGTTGGGGTTTTAGGATGCGTGTGAAGAGAGTTGATCCAAAGACGGTGTAGAAAAATGAAAAAAAATAAAAATAAAAATATCTCTGTTTTTGATGGACCTCGTTATTCCGAATTCTATGCGTTGAATGATAAAAAAACAAAGCTGTCAGTCACCTGTGAGTCTTTTTCCACTTAGATAACAACGACTCCTGTTGGTTTCTGGGCACAGCATGAATAAAGAAACCTCCTATCATGTCTTATATGAGCTCTATCACATAGTAAGCTATTGAATCATTTTTTCATTTTTCGATATCTTATCGAAATATTTTTTTAAAAAGTGATAAAAGGTATAACATCAATNATAGTAAGCTATTGAATCATTTTTTCATTTTTCGATATCTTATCGAAATATTTTTTAAAAAAATTTAAAAAGTGATAAAAGGTATAACATCAATTTTTTTTTTGAAAATATAGTCAAACACTATATTCAATGCTCACCCACACGTGCATAGACCAGGGGGGTAGAGATTAAAAAAAAAAAAAAAAAAAGAATTGAAACAAGGATTCAAATGTCTTTCTTTACACTTTGTATAAATGCACTGTATTAAGATCAAGTACTCTGTATCAGTAGTTGGAGACTCACTTATACAGAGCAAGTTGGTGGGTGATAAAATTGATGAGTTGGTTGGTTTAATTTATTGTATGCCTTACGGATAAGTTGTTCACCTGATTCAAATTTAGATTCAAATTTAAATTTAAGTAAAAAAATCTAAAAAAATTATTTTTATCTTTGACTCAAATTTATATCAAATCAAGATAAATNAAAAAAAAAAAAAAAAAAGAATTGAAACAAGGATTCAAATGTCTTTCTTTACACTTTGTATAAATGCACTGTATTAAGATCAAGTACTCTGTATCAGTAGTTGGAGACTCACTTATACAGAGCAAGTTGGTGGGTGATAAAATTGACGAGTTGGTTGGTTTAATTTATTGTATGCCTTACGGATAAGTTCACGTTGAACATTTCACCCTGACTCAAATTTAAATTTAAGTNTCAGTAGTTGGAGACTCACTTATACAGAGCAAGTTGGTGGGTGATAAAATTGATGAGTTGGTTGGTTTAATTTATTGTATGCCTTACGGATAAGTTGTTCACCTGATTCAAATTTAGATTCAAATTTAAATTTAAGTAAAAAAAAGTAAAAAAATTATTTTTATCTTTGACTCAAATTTATATCAAATCAAGATAAATTCATTTTTTTACTCAAATCAAAGGAGAATCAAATCCTTATCCAAATCTTTAATGATGAGATTTCATCATTTTTTAAAGATCTAATAATCATTTTTACTCTCTTTTAAATTTGGATTTGTCCTCATTAAATTTGGGTTTCTCCTTTAAATTTGAATTTGTTCATTAGAGCCCTTTTGATCAAATTAAATTTTTTACTCAAATGTTAATTTAAATTTAAGTAAANCTTTTAAATTTGGATTTGTCCTCATTAAATTTGGGTTTCTCCTTTAAATTTGAATTTGTTCATTAGAGCCCTTTTGATCAAATTAAGTTTTTTACTCAAATGTTAATTTANAAAGATCTAATAATCATTTTTACTCTCTTTTAAATTTGGATTTGTCCTCATTAAATTTGGGTTTCTCCTTTAAATTTGAATTTGTTCATTAGAGCCCTTTTGATCAAATTAAATTTTTTACTCAAATGTTAATTTAAATTTAAGTAAAAATTTAAGTCAAGATTGAAGATACTCTTAAAGTATTAATAGTTGGTCAAATGGCCACCAATTCTATTGTTGAATTTTAAAGTCTCGGGTTCGAATCTTGCCATTTCCTCAAAAAAACAGTGCTAAAAAAAAAAAAAAAAGAGAAACTATTAGATATGTACATACCTCCGTTGTGTGCTTTGGTTCATGGTCTCTATCCATTTAAGAAAATGTTATACAATTCAAAAATTACAACTCAAATGTATATCTTCTATTAGNAAAAAGAGAAACTATTAGATATGTACATACCTCCGTTGTGTGCTTTGGTTCATGGTTTCTATCCATTTAAGAAAATGTTATACAATTCAAAAATTACAACTCAAATGTATATCTTCTATTAGATGAGTAAGACCCACTAAAAAAATCGAAGAAATCAAAAATAATATGCATTTGAATTATAATTTTTTGAATTTCATTTAAGTTGTATAACATTACTCATTTATTTAAAATGTAGGATTATTCTGGGCCATAGGCCCATAAAGTCTATTACGAACAATGGGCCAAGAAAGCGTGAAAGACAAGGGTATAGAAAAGTGATCCGAGTAAGAAGATTCGTTGTTTAAGATGGTTTGACTTATTTATCTTGATTAAATATTGAGTGGTATAGTGATTCCATTAGGCCAGATTGGGGTTGGATTAAATTTTGATTGATTTGAATCTGAGTTTAAAAGTTTGATTTGATAATCTGGCGAATTTTATTCGCATACTTTGTATTTGAATCTGGCAACAATTCAAAATTCGATCAAAAAATCCTATATGATCTGAATAACTTAATTAATTAAATTTTAACAAATTATATCTAAATTTATTTAAATAATTCAGATTGGATCATAATCGAATCAGATATAAATATATCTAAATCCAAATCTGTGAAATATAAGATATTCGATTCAGATTTGAATTCGAGTTATCATTAAAAAATATTAATTTATATCCGATTAATCAGATTCAGATCAAATTTGAATCAGAATCCGATCTATTGACACTTGACGGACCTCAATATCATATCACTATAAAGTTGTGATATTATCATTTAATAATAAAATATTATAAAATAATGAATCCTTGGGGAGGATGGGAAAATTTGAGCCTATCTTGTATTTTGTTCAATTTATACGAAAATGTTTGTTGTTCTACACTTATTCTCAAATTGTTGTACAACAATAAGGGTTTTAACCTCGGTGTGTTGTTGATCCGGTTAAGGAATTCAATACTTAAGTAGAGGTGAGTTTGATTTTTTATTTTTTATTTTGGTAAATAAAATAGATATGTAGATCATCGACCCATGTTTATCTAGGAACATTATCTTTCAATACCACACAATTATATACAAAAGACCTCGTCGCACCTATGTCAGGAACAAAGTTGGGTCTGGCTTTTTTGTTGTGAGGAGGTAATAGCACGCAGTATTGTTAAGTGGAACGACGCCGTATCAACCTTAAACGACGCCGTTTTGTGATATGTTGAAAAAAAAATAAAATCTAAACGGCATCATTTTCTGCCAAATGGAACACTAGACGATCTGCCCCTCCAAAAACAAAAATTCAGTAACCCAACTCTCACACTCTCAAACCAGACTAGAGACGTTCAGAACCATCCATCACAAATCAGTAACTCCTCTTCACTTCATTTGTTCGGCTGCATCCATCTCTTCACTCCATTTGTTTGGCACCATACTCTTCTGTAAGTTTAAGTATTTTTTTTCATTTCTAGTGATTTCGTATTGTTTATGATTATGTTTGAGCTTTGAAAATATACCACCATCATAACAAAATTGTAATCGTTAGTGTGTTGATGTGTTAAAAAAAATTCGTTTATCAATATCTTGTAAATTTGTTTACCAGTAATCTATTGTTCATATTTCGTTTATCAAAAAAAATTCATTTATCAATATTTTGTAGATTTGTTTACCAGTAATATATTGTTCATATTTCATTTATCAAAAAAAAATTCGTTTAACCTTTTCAATATGTTTCATGTAGATTAGATATCTTAAACATTGTGCTTATCAATATGTTTAACATTATATTTTGTTCTTAATATAATGGTGATATTGTATTAAAATTTTCTTAATTTTTTGGCATATTAGGGTACCTATTTATAATGGAGACGGAATGTGCCGAGATTGAGATAACAAATCATACTCTGCGTATTGACATGCATTTTAACATAGAGGAAGATGCTTATAGATTCTATAA